AATGAATTTGGGGAGAAGTGGGACAGAGGGGTTCCATTAGCTTTTTTTTGTTGTTATCAGATTCTCAAAAGAGGTTTATGGCCCAAAGAAGATTAAAAACACCGCTCCTGAAATTAATATTAGAGGGTAAAATCAGTCCAGAACAAGTGTGGTTTTGTTTGCCATTTCATCCATCGTTAAAATAGTTGGGAAAGTGATATTTTAAATCACATGAGATCAGTTAAATCTTTGCATTTAAAAGTGGTTCCTTTATAATAAGGCCTTTGTCATTCTGTTCAAGTATGAACTGTCAGTTTGGACCCAGAAAATATTCATTCCAACTGAGAACCCCTGCTGTACCCAGCTCCACTGGTAACTGAGCTACAGTAGAATAAAAAATGCTCACAGGCAAAATTTGCTCTATTGACCATGCCAGGGTCACCTGGTACTCTTCCTTTTGAATGTTTTCTGCCTCTGGTTTTTGTTGCTGTTGATTATTGATTATTGATTTCATACATTCTTTCAATGTTAAACTGCCGAGTGTTTGAAGTAACAACTACACCCTCAGGGCTCCTTCAACACCCATGAGGTAGGAATGATTACAGAAATTTTACTTTAAAAGGAGGAATGATAGGAGTGAACTGCTCTGAGCATCTTCCAGAGACTCTGTGATCCAGGAACACGTGGATGGTGATAATTTACCCACCTAATTACAGTAATACCTTGGTTTGCGAGCATAATTCGTTCCAGTAACAAACTACTCATATTGCAAGACATCGCTCGTTTACAATGTTAAAATGTATTAGAAATGTTTGCTCGTCTTGCAGAACACTCGCAAACCACACTACTCGCAATCCAAGGTTTTACTGTATTTTTGTCTGACAATGGGCCATGATGTGAGTGCTGTGTGGGTTGTAACCATTCCCATTTCTCGATAACAGACTATGGTCCAAACACGTTGCTAAGTGTGTTATGTATATGATCCCATTGAATCCTTGTAACACTGAATGAGACAGGGACTGTATCCCCATTTTGTAGATTCCAAAGCTAGGCTCTGAAATATTAGGTAACTAACTTGCCCATGATCACACAGCCAGTGAACAGTAAAACCAGTA